CCCCCCATCCCCAAAAGTTTCTCTGCGGATTTGGGCTGTACTCAGCAAGCGCAGTACAGCCCCCAACTCAGATTTAAAAAAAACATCAGTGGGTGGTTCTTTTCTGACTGGTCGGCGGAACGCCGACCGGTTGGCCCTACTGGTCGGCTGCAAGACGGTCGGCGGTTGGGGTCGGTGGTCGGCAGGCATGCAACCCTGCTCTCTGCCAAATATACAACTTCAGATCTGACAGAGTCTTGAGCCAAAAATGGAAAATCCCAAACTTATTATAACGCGAATTGTGAGTACGCTACGCACAATTCACAGGGATCCTCTTTTATGTTGTAATGATTTAACACAAAAATGGTATTGCTGGAATTTTTTACGGTCTGTCTTTTCGTTACCGTCTTTTCTCTGAACGCAATGCATATAGCATACTGATTATGAATCTTTCCGGTCCGGTTGACTACAGTCATGATGAGCGCTTGTTGTATTCGGGGGGCCGGGAATTACTACAAATGAGGAATGCCACTTGTATGCACATTGCTGAGAATGCCGCCTCACTTAGTCAATGATGGCGTTCTCAATGCACAACTTGTGATCAGGCAAAAACATGACGATCTTTTCTAACCGAGTGCTGGAAATATGGGTGAAACGAAATGGGTAATATGAGTTACTAATAACTTAATAACTTAATAAGTTATTAGTAAGTTAATAAGTACTAATATAACTTGATAAGTTGCATTACCCAACCAAATAATAATAAGTCTGAAATTTTGAAAATGGAAGTGGATAATAAATTAATATTATTTTAATAACAAGTCTGAAAATGTTTGAAATGCCAGAAATCACACAGACCTGAAGAAGTTGAAACGCAACTGGTTGGGACACTGGGATCGTTGCCGAGCACGTGATTCTTCCAACGAATATTGATAAGAGCAACATTCATTATGAGAGGGGGGGGGGGGGGGGGGGAAAAAAAAAAAAAAAAAAAAAAAAAAAAAAAAAGAGGGGGGGGGGGGGGGGGGGGGGGGGAGGAAAAGAAGAAGAAGAAGAAGAAGAAGAAGAAAAGGAAAGACATTTGGTATTTACCAAAAGGAATCAATGGAATAGAATAATAGCGAATTGTTCTAGTGGACTAATAAAAGCGATTTTGAATTCTCCTTTTTTTTTTTTTTTTTTTTGTTTGTTAATGGAGCTTTCGATGATCGAATATCTAAAAGCCAATGCAATAAATTGAGATCCAAATGAGGATTTCAATTGGTATTACAGTGGGAATGCTGCCTCACTAGGGTTAGGTCGTCCTGCGTGTGTGTGTGCTTGATCAGGCAAATGAGGATTGCAACTTGTATACATATGACATGAGGACGCTGAAGGCTGCATTGTGTGTACATAGAGACCATGTCTCAGCAGTGTAAGTGTCGCAGACCATGTTTTTTGCGCTTTTTTTTTTTGTTTTGTTCACTATTGTTGTTTAAACTTTGAACTTCAAACTTTAAACTTGTTTTCCTCCTCTTTTTTGCGGGCAATTCTCGCAATAAAGCACTCAATCGCCACTTATGGTGCCCAAATTTTTTTTCAGTAGTTTTGCCAAAAAAAAAAAAAAGAATTCATCAGTTTTGCCGTGAAATGATGCCGACTTAGTTCCATGCTTGCGGTGCATCATGTGCGCAGCGTGACCGCACGTGCGGTGACTGCACGTGATGCGGCGCACGACCAAAAATGGGGGTCGAAAAATTTTAAAAAGGGGAAAGGGGGGGGGTAGTACACTCCACGCCTCCCCTGAAAAAAATGCACATGGACAAAGGAAAAAATTTTTGAGGGCCGCGCTCAGCAGCAGCCGCAAGAAATCTGTGTGGGTGGGTGGGTGGTGCGGGGGGTTGACGAACCATCAGATGGTGAGCCCGAAGTGTGCAGCATGGGCCATGGGGAGCCAAATGGATGCTGCGGGGAATCGAACCCACGACTTCCTGAATACCACTTACATGCTCAACCAACTGAGTTACTAGCAAAACAAAATGTCAGAACTGCCAGTTGACACAACACACATGTATGACAGTCATGAGGTGGATGTATCTTACCTGAATATTGTTTCTATCATACATGCGGCGCATCGACATGCGATGCACCGCGCACGATGCGCGCGCACTGGGTGCGGCACACCCTGAAAACAAGGGGTCGAGAAAAAACAAAATAAAAAGCTGGGGAGGGGTGTTGTAGGCCCGAGTGGGATGTCGCGTCAAGAACTGCAAAAAAATAGAAACAAAAATTTGAGGCTGTGCGGGGCCTCCGAAAAAAGAAAAGAGGGGAGATGAAGTTAGTTTTTTTGT